AGAACAAAAAGAAGAACGGTATATACTCAGTGACTCAGATGGAGCCTAGATTGTTAATTTTCTTCAAAATACCTCCACTGTGCCCTTTTCAAGACAAATATTTGGAAAGCTTCGAATTTCTTGAGGTAAACTTCTTTAGCTTTGCTGATTTAGAAACCTAAGCAGGATCTTTCCTGAGTGCATATCTGAGAAGACAAGGAGTTATAGACTAATTTGGAAAACAAGCCCGTATCTGGGAAGAGGACAATGGGAAATCACTTCTGTATTTTTACCCATGAAACTCAATGAATAGATAAGGTGTGCAAATAGGAGCCAGGTTTTATTTCAAGACAACTACAGACAAGTTTCTTTAGCAATGCACCAACACTCCTACCTGATTTATCAGATCAATTGTGTTTTCAAGCATCTTTGCAGCTTCCCTTTTTTGGACATCTCGTTCTTCTTTTGCCTGGTATCTTATCTTATCCTCTGCGGCTTTACTAAACAATACCTTGAAAGAAAAACACAGAGGAATATCAACAGAGGAAAAAACGGAAGAGAAGCACAGTCAACATTCTCTTACCCCACCCCACCCCTTGCGCTCAAAAAGAGATGCTTTTATCGGTTTAAATTTAAACTCTGATGACAGGCCTACATACTTACTGTGCCGTGACCGTTTGCTTCAAAATAAATGCCAATATCAAATTCCTGGGCCTTGTGATGCAAATGCTTCACTCCTGTTTTGGCACAGTGAACAGGCACCTAAGAAAGAGAGATCAGATGTGCTGAATGTATAATTCTGCACTACAAGCAACGTAATCTTTGAAATGTTGGAACATGCAAAGACAGCATTCCCTTGAGGGGAGAAGGCTCAGAAGAGCAATGCCTGACCAATGACAAGAAGCGCATTACACCAGTGGCACCGATCACCAACAAGAGAAGCCTGGGGGATTCACACACTGCATCATTCATTCATTCAATTTTTATTTATTTCAATTTCTATAGTAGTCCATCTCAATCAATGACTCTAGGTGGCTTACAATTTCCAAAACTATTAAAACAACAAAAAGCATTTATAAGAAAGATAAAAAATTCCAAAAGAAATATACACAGCAGCTGAGATAGTTCACCAGTTAACCGTAAAACCAAGAAGTGGGGCCTTTAATGCATTCAGGGTCCCAGAGTCAGGAACACAGCCAAGTTTTTAAAGCTTTAGGAAAGGCTACCGAATGAAGGCAAATATACGTGTCCCAGGATAATGTTGCAGGATCCAATCTGGGTTGGTCACCGGGACCAGAGAGGTTTAGTCTTCCGAGCTTTCAAACTCCTGACGGAGCCCATCTTTAGGAGACTTCTCTCTAGCAGAGTGTGTTAAAAAGAAGTTCCCTAACAGTCTTGTGGAAAACGAAAGGACTCTTACGAATTCCAGAGGGTTTTAGCAGAGAAGTTTATTGTGCAGATTCAGAAGCAATAGCAACAAGCAATTGTGAACTCTGAGGGCGGGTTCAGACTTCAGTTTTATACTTTCCTTTTCTCAGGAACAAAGGAATACACATTGAAATACACATTGTAATACATTAGGTTCCTTTCTCATGGGTATACAATGGAGGGTTTGCTACATACATTGTATCCAGGCGCAATGCGCATTAGGTTAGTCACATACTACTGACACAGCACTATTCTAGTATTTGTTCATTATTCTACCTTATTCCCCCCTTTGGAAGTTTTCTTGCTTAAACTTCCATCATTCGTCCTCCAATTCAGGATCTTTAGAGGGCAACATTTTCTATTCCCATAAAGCTAATATTGTTTCATGTTTTGCAGTTAATTAAGCTCTCTCTCTCGCTCTCTCTGGTAAGGGAGAAGTCCCCTGAGGACGGGCTCCAGCACGAGTCCCAAAGCTCGGAAGACTAAACCTCTGGTCCCAGTGACCGACCCAGATTGGATCCTGCAGGATTAGGATCATTCTAATCTCCGTGGGGAGGATTTTCCACGGAGCAGGGGCTACTGCAGAAAAGGCCCGTCTTCTAGTCCCCACCAGCTGATACTTTTTGGCTGACAGGATAGGCAGCAACCCGGCTTGCACGATTGAACTGGGGTAGATCAAGATCTATCGGAAATATTTGCACAATAAGGAAAGCATGGCTAATGCTAACCTTGATTAGGTTTGCAGGCATATAGCCCTCTGTATGAATCCAAACCATTTGGCTAGTTAACAGTGCTATAACCAGTTTAAGTGTGTTGTATAAATGCAGCCAGAGAACTTTAGAAAGATACCCAGCACAAAGAGAGGGGGGCTTCTGCTATCCTAGTTAAATAATCAAATAAAACAAAATGCAACTGATTTTCTGGTAAGTAATTGTCTCCAAGAGATGGCATTCTTGTAGTGCTGTCTTCCCATCAAGGAACAAGTCATATCTTTGCTCCCAATTCTCAAGGACTCAAAAGTGTGTGAGTAAAAAATGGAAGCAAGTTTTGGAATTTTTTTTCCTAAAACTTTTCATACTTTGCCATAAAACTCCAATTTCTCAGAAAGCAGCACACGTAAGGATCAGTTTAAAATACATTACAAACAGGGTTGATTTTTTTTTTAAACAAAAGTGATATTCATGAAATCCAGAGTATTTGGAATATATAGGGCAAGGGTAGGGAACCTTGACTCTTTTATGACTTGTGGACTTCAATACCCAGAATTCCTGAACCAGCCATGCTGACTCAGGAACTCTGGGAGTTGAAGTCCACCAGTCATAAAAGAGCCAAGGTTCCCTACCCCTGACATTAAGGGGGGGGGAATCAACATGATTTCAATGTTTTATTTCTTTTTTTAAAAAAAACAACAGCCTAGCTTTCTCCAACCTGCTGTCTTCCAGATGTATCGCAAAGCATCACTGTCAACCCCAGGTTACTAAGAGAAAAGCTGCAAGTCCAGCACATCTGGAAGCTAGCTTGTTGGGTTAAGCACTTCTAGTTTCTCTCTAGGTAGGCATTACACACACAAAACCCCACATTTGTTGGAATTAGTAACCTCCCACTCTCATTCTACCCCCATGTTAGAAGTGTTGATGTTTTAGCCATGGTAATTTTGCTGGCTTGTTGAAGACTGGAAGAAGTCGACTTCATACCTTCATGGTTTGTTCCAGATAACCAGTAGAGCTTCCATTGGCATAAGCTGTTTGTATTACTGCAAAAGATAAGGTTTGTCCAGCCTGAAGAAGCAGAGAAAGGAACATTCCACAAACAAGACTCAACTTCACAAGAACTACATGGATCCTTTATCTTTGAAGTTTAAGAACTTAAATTTACAAAGAGATGGCAGTATTTTCCTCTACTGACCTTAAAGATCAACAGCACTGCCCTCCCTTTTTGGGTGGAAGAACATGTTAACTATTAACCGAACCTACTTTTCAGATCAAGATTATGCAAAAAAAAAATTACGTTTATTAATAGTACAAGCTAGGTTTCAGAGCATATATTAGATTTATTTTTACAGTTAACATTATTTTTAGATTGTATAGTATAACTTTGATTTAACAAGGCCATCTGGAGGGGAAGTGTGTCATTAAAGCTAACCACCTGTAATTCTATAACTTAATATCATCAATACTAGTGGTATAAATTATGATAACGGTGTGTACTACTTCAGAAAAAGTTTGACTATTATTTGGGAGTGAAGTCCAAACTAAAGTTTAGTCTGCTCCATCCAATTTCCTCTGAATGAGGGTCTGTAAAACTAAGGTTTTACTGCAAGTTCCTGTGAATAAACCAGCCTAGGTTTATATGTAATTTTGGTTTATGCAATTTATAAATCTGTTTTTAATCCACTGAGGAAATGCCCTATCTGACCCCATCAATAATTCTGCTCTGCTTAATTTTCACTGAAACCCAAGAAGCAGCCAATTGTTGTATTTTGCAAAATGCAACACAGCTCCCATCCAAACAGTAGCATTATACTTTGGGGAACAATAATTTACTGTATTTTTCTTAAAATAAATTCTCAATAATTCACTGTACTTTTCTCCAAAGGAATTCTCTTACCTCTTTAAAAGATAGGTGACTGTACAGCTATTATTATTATTGTGGGAATCCATTTAGGAAAAAGAAATAAGAATTTTTTATAATGGCATTTCATTTGCATATTCTTTCCACATAGAAGATATCTCAAATATACAAGTATTTGTGTTCACTGTACACCAGGAAAGATCTATTTTTTCATCATGGTAGTGTAGAATAATGCTTTAACCAAAGGAAATCAATTACCTTTATCAGAAGTTCTTTAAGAAAAGTGCTGATTAGAGTTGCTATTTTATCTCCATCTAGAAGATGGAAATGGCCAACAGAGTCTACATAGTAGTAAACAATTCGGTCAGCATCACCATCCAACGAGCAGCATCTCTCACCAGGATTCATTTGTAGTCCTAACAAGCAAGAAAACAATGCAGAAGTGTTCATTGGTAAGAATTTAAGCAGGGGTCCCCAACCCCCGGTCCATGGACCGATACCGGGCCACGGCATGCCAGCAACCGGTCCAAGCAAAGCCCCATCCACGGGATGCAGGCAGCACACAAAACCACGCTCCCTCCAGTCCGCGGAAAAACCTCTCTCCATGGAACCAGTCCCTGGTGCCCAAAAGGTTGGGGACCTCTGATTTAGAGAGTAAACATCATGGGTTTTACATACTTCCAAAATAAACTGCCGAATTAAACCAAGAATGGGCAACATATGGTCCTTTAGATGATGTTCCGCATCCATGTGCCTTAGCCAGTATGGCCAATGCAAGCAGGTCGGGTTACAATCTAGCAACCTTTAGATAAATGTTTATTGGTCACCTTTGAGTTGTATAGATAGTTAGGCACAGATATTCTCTGCGGTAAAAAATAACAATTTTAAGTTTCCCCTTCTACTACAAATCTACCAAAGGGTCAGAATGTTAACAAAGGGGTACAACTGATCTACTGAAGGAATTCAGCTCCTTTGCATGCACAGAAAGGAATTTCTTCAACAGGATGCATGAATGGAGCTGGTATTGTCAGGATTTTAGCTCCACTTCAGCATCCTGCCAAAGGAACAGGCAGCTTTTTCAGTCAGACCTAGAAACAAGGAGATCTCTTCAGCAGCCATTTGCAACTTTTCCAGACAGCTTCCCCACTGCCTTTCTGGGGAAGCCAACAGAGAAGACTGCAAATGGTAATCACATGATCACCAGGCATTTGACCACCAGTCATATATGCCAACAGGTTGCCGAGCACCCAAATCGCGATCATGTGAGCATGGGATGGGGATACTAGGGTTTTATAATGCAGTACTAATACTTTGTGTGATCTTGATTCTATACTTCTGTTTATACAACCCAGGATTGTATTAGCTTTTTTGGCTGTTGCTGGACACTGCTGGCTCATGATCAAGTGATCATCCACTAGGACTAGGACTCCAAGGTCCCTCTCACAGTTACTGTTTTTGAGCCAAGTCTCGCCCAATCTGTACTTGTACCTTTGATTTTTCCTGCCTAAATGTAAAATTTTGCTTTTCTCCACATTAAAACTCATTTTGTTGGATAGGGCCCATTGTTTAAGTTTGTCAAGATCTTCTTGGATCCTGAGCTTGTCTTCTGGGGTGTTGGCTATTCCTGCCAATTTAGTATAATCTGCAAATTTGATGAGTTCCCCTTCAATTCCCTTGTCTATTAATGAAGATATTGAAGAGTACTGAGCCTAAGACGGAGCCTTGTGGTACCCCACTGCTTATTTATTTGTTTGTTTGTTTCTTATTAGATTTGTTTGCCACCTGTCTCTCTTTATTTATTTTATTTATTTATTTATTATTTTAATTTGTATACCGCCCTTCTCCCATAGGACTCAGGGCGGTTCACAGCATATTAAAAACAGATAATAAACACAAAATACAAAAAATTACAAAATACAAAAATACAGAAAATAAACCCCGATAAAAGCCGAATTAAAACCAAATATTACAAGCTGTGTATCCAATTAAAATACTTTTANAGAACAAAAAGAAGAACGGTATATACTCAGTGACTCAGATGGAGCCTAGATTGTTAATTTTCTTCAAAATACCTCCACTGTGCCCTTTTCAAGACAAATATTTGGAAAGCTTCGAATTTCTTGAGGTAAACTTCTTTAGCTTTGCTGATTTAGAAACCTAAGCAGGATCTTTCCTGAGTGCATATCTGAGAAGACAAGGGGTTATAGACTAATTTGGAAAACAAGCCCGCATCTGGGAAGAGGACAATGGGAAATCACTTCTGTATTTTTACCCATGAAACTCAATGAATAGATAAGGTGTGCAAATAGGAGCCAGGTTTTATTTCAAGACAACTACAGACAAGTTTCTTTAGCAATGCACCAACACTCCTACCTGATTTATCAGGTCAATTGTGTTTTCAAGCATCTTTGCAGCTTCCCTTTTTTGGACATCTCGTTCTTCTTTTGCCTGGTATCTTATCTTATCCTCTGCGGCTTTACTAAACAATACCTTGAAAGAAAAACACAGAGGAATATCAACAGAGGAAAAAACAGAAGAGAAGCACAGTCAACATTCTCTTACCCCACCCCACCCCTTGCACTCAGAAAGAGATCCTTTTATCAGTTTAAATTTAAACGCTGATGACAGGCCTACATACTTACTGTGCCGTGACCGTTTGCTTCAAAATAAATGCCAATATCAAATTCCTGGGCCTTGTGATGCAAATGCTTCACTCCTGTTTTGGCACAGTGAACAGGCACCTAAGAAAGAGAGATCAAATGTGCTGAGTGTATAATTCTGCACTACAAGCAACGTAATCTTTGAAATGTTGGAACATGCAAAGACAGCGTTCCCTTGAGGGGAGAAGGCTCAGAAGAGCAATGCCTGACCAATGACAAGAAGCGCATTACACCAGTGGCACTGATCACCAACAAGAAAAGCCTGGGGGATTCACACACTGCATCATTCATTCATTCAATTTCTATTTATTTCAATTTCTATAGTCGTCCATCTCAACCAATGACTCTAGGTGGCTTACAATTTCCAAAACTATTAGAACAACAAAAAGCATTTAAGAACAATAAAAAATTCAGCAGCTGAGATAGTTCACCAGTTAACCGTAAAACCAAGAAGTGGGGCCTTTAATGCATTCAGGGTCCCAGAGTCAGGAACACAGCCAAGTTTTTAAAGCTTTAGGAAAGGCTAACAGGGTTAGGACCGAATGAAGGCAAATATACATGTCCCAGGATAATGTTGCAGGATCCAATCTGGATTGGTCACCGGGACCAGAGAGGTTTAGTCTTCTGAGCTTTCAAATTCCTGACGGAGCCCATCCTTAGGGGACTTCTCTCTAGCAGAGTGTGTTAAAAAGAAGTTCCCTAACAGGAGCTCTCTCTCTCGCTCTCTCTGGTAAGGGAGAAGTCCCCTGAGGACGGGCTCCAGCACGAGTCCCAAAGCTCGGAAGACTAAACCTCTGGTCCCAGTGACCGACCCAGATTGGATCCTGCAGGATTAGGATCATTCTAATCTCCGTGGGGAGGATTTTCCACGGAGCAGGGGCTACTGCAGAAAAGGCCCGTCTTCTAGTCCCCACCAGCTGATACTTTTTGGCTGACAGGATAGGCAGCATGCCCGGCCTGCACGATTGAACTGGGGTAGATCAAGATCTATCAGAAATACTTGAATAATAAGGAAAGCATGGCTAATGCTAACCTTGATTAGGTTTGCAGGCATATAGCCCTCTGTATGGATCCAAACCATTTGGCTAGTTAACAGTGCTATAACCAGTTTAAGTGTGTTGTATAAATGCAGCCAGAGAACTTTAGAAAGATACCCAGCACAAAGAGAGGGGGGCTTCTGCTATCCTAGTTAAATAATCAAATAAAACAAAATGCAACTGATTTTCTGGTAAGTAATTGTCTCCAAGAGATGGCATTCTTGTAGTGCTGTCTTCCCATCAAGGAACAAGTCATATCTTTGCTCCCAATTCTCAAGGACTCAGAAGTGTGTGAGTAAAAAATGGAAGCAAGTTTTGGAATTTTTTTTCCTAAAACTTTTCATACTTTGCCATAAAACTCCAAATTTTCACAAAGCAGCACACGTAAGTATCAGTTTAAAATACATTACAAACAGGGTTGATTTTTTTTAAAACAAAAGTGATATTCATGAAATCCAGAGTATTTGGAATATATAGGGCAGGGGTGGGGAACCTTGACTCTTTTATGACTGGTGGACTTCAATACCCAGAATTCCTGAGCCAGCCATGCTGACTCAGGAATTCTGGGAGTTGAAGTCCACCAGTCATAAAAGAGCCAAGGTTCCCTACCCCTGACATGGGGGGGGGGAATCAACATGATTTCAATGTTTTATTTCTTTTTTTAAAAAAAGCAGCCTAGCTTTCTCCAACCTGCTGTCTTCCAGATGTATCGCAAAGCATCACTGTCAACCCCAGGCTACTAAGAGAAAAGCTGCAAGTCCAGCACATCTGGAAGCTAGCTTGTTGGGGTAAGCACTTCTAGTTTCTCTCTAGGTAGGCATTACACACACAAAACCCCACATTTGTTGGAATTAGTAACCTCCCACCCTCACTCTACCCCCATGTTAGAAGTGTTGATGTTTTAGCCATGGTAATTTTACCGGCTTGTTTAAGACTGGAAGAAGTCAACTTCATACCTTCATGGTTTGTTCCAGATAACCAGTAGAGCTTCCATTGGCATAAGCTGTTTGTATTACTGCAAAAGATAAGGTTTGTCCAGCCTGAAGAAGCAGAGAAAGGAACATTCCACAAACAAGACTCAACTTCACAAGAACTACATGGATCTTTACCTTTGAAGTTTAAGAACTTAAATTTACAAAGAGATGGCAGTATTTTCCTCTACTGACCTTAAAGATCAACAGCACATCTTATAACAGCCGCAAGATTATTGGTAGCTCAATTTTGGAAGAAGGACTCTTTGCCTACTATAGAAGAATGGACGCTTAAAGTGTCAAATTTAGCGGACATGGCTAAAATTTCCGCTTATTTGAAAGATCAATCACAAGAAAGATATATCTCGGTCTGGAGAAGATGGATAGATTATATTCAGAATAAATATGGGAC